CCCATGGGGGGCGCTGAGTATTCCTAAAGGAAGAACTCAGTAATCTTTTTTAACGTGAACCGTGCCTTTAAATATAAGGTAACGAACTTTCCGGCACATCGCCCATTATACCATCCAGCAAATAAGTGAAAATAACAACCACTGGATAGATGAGTCGTGAACTCCTTTAACTTGACGGGTGATTTAACTTGGTTCCCGATAATATTTTGAGCTAGTCGACATTGTTTCAAGGCAATCACAAAAAAATGTTAAAATGGTAAATGAACACCTTCATCACAGACTGCAGCTTGTTAATGAAAAACGAACTTCAACAAGAGTTACTTGGGATGATAAACACCTACCTATAGATTCAATAATCCTGTGTAAATCACCCAGAATTTTGAAATCTAAATTATAATATCCGTCAAAAATTCCTTCTTCTTTTCTTCATCTAGGTTTTTTTTAATAGAAGGTTCACCTTTATGACAACTACTGTGAGAGCTGGACTTTCTCCCATAGGGTTCCTTTTCTATTCCATTCTATTTCTTTTCGTCATTTTTTACTAGTTCTTTCCCACAATTATTTCTTTATGTACCGTGTTCATTGTTTGTTTACAACTTTTTGGAGAACCAATGATAGACAGATAAGTAAATAAAGTAAACAATATGACTCACTTGAAGTGTTGATAGTCATGCTTAACGGTGCTGACAAAAACAATAGGATGCCGGAATGATTTCACAGGCTGGCTAGGCGATCTGATAACTCGGTTCCACTGCTCGACCGTGGATACTATTCAGCGGCTGTTAGTTACCCTCGAAATTCCTTAAAACGCTTTTTATTCCGGTTATTCAACGATCGAACGTATCAATCGATATCCATTGAATACGGGTATTTTACGCAAAACGAATTTGAACCAAACGTTATTTACATCAGTAACATTAAAAGCAAAGAGATAGGGAAAAAAAAAGAGAAAAAGATGATGTTAGGAAAGATAAAGAGGGAATGAGGATTACAATAAAAATGAAGAGGAGCTGTGGAGGGCGACTCTGACAAATCAGTACGAACATTGAATCGAATTGATACACTTTTGTAGATCAAATGAGCGTCGTCGAGAGATCAAATCGATCGTCTTCAAATAAAATAAATAAAAAATATGGTAATACTCTAGAACAGCTCAAAAAGGATTTCTAGGAGAAAGGGTGAGAAGGGGGAACGTTCGTTGCGCGCGTCCGTCGAAAGTAGGTGACCCCGCCACTTCGCGCCCGGTGCACCTCAACTGAGGTCTTGACATGACATCACAGTACCACCAAGTGTCAGAGGAGCGAATGATTTGCATTTATCCGTGTTATCTTCCCTTTGGCTGACTGCTGTGGACCGAGCGCAAATTGTATGCTCCGAAGACAACTGCGACGTTTGTTAAAAATCGCGGGCTGACGCGTCGCATGCGACGGCTGCGGCGTGACCTAGATTTGACGGACGCGCGTAAAGAAGCGCACCCAGGTGAGAAGGGAGTTTGGTGTAGGGATCGAGATGATTTCAAAGCTTGTTTTTTCGAGTGAAGGTAAAAATAGTAAAGTGAAAATAAAATGAAAAGTTTTTTACACTTAATAAGACATGCTTATTCATAAATTTGATATCAATACCATTTTAAGTTTATTCGGCTCATCGTTATGCTGCTCAATTGATGAATCTTGATCTGTTACAACTTTATATGAGCGGTTTTCAAGAAATACGCCTTGATTATGATTAGAGTGCTGGATTCTATTAGTGCCTCTCAAAGTAAGTCTTAAATACATACTCCTCCTTCCTCGAAATCGGATATCGAACGGTTGAATTTTTCTCGTATTATAGAAATTGTAAGGGTACAATCTACAGTTGGGACAAATGTAGCTAAACCTTTCATCGTTGAGCCTCCGCTTAAAGGTGTTACATTGAAAGATTCCTGCTCTCAGAGCCTTGACTACATTACTTTACGATAGAATATGTAGAACCTCGGCCTTCCTTTACTGCCGACCGGAGCGCAGGGGAGTGCTCAATAGTGTTTCTTGAGAATTTCCCCTAGATGCGGAAGTGACGCGCATAATTCCTGAGAGAAGCGGACACTATTCAGGGGAATGGCTTCGATGAGCCTAAGACATCAAAGGCTCTTGAAGAAGTTTTTGTAGATTCTTATCTACTTCCTCAAATCCTTTGACTTGATCGGTTAACGTTTCGAAGATTACCGGAAGAGAACAGTTTAACCGGCAACCGCTCGGAAAATTTACTTGAGGGGTCCCTTCAAAACATTCGGTCAATTAGAAGCTTCTCTTATGAATAGATTAGCTAGTAGTACAATCCCGTATGTGTTTCACCGGTAGGCTAGCCTTTGTCACAGGACGACGGCTCGGGCGAGCTGAGTCAGCCGTAAAATTCACGAAGCCGCCAGCTGGTGGTACGACCGGCGGTGGAGCGACTTCCTCCGCACTGTTACGGGCAAGTCCCATTATTGCCACAAGCACTCCATTACTAGATTTTTCCCCCAAACTCAGGCAGCGTTGCTGAGTTGTGCCGCCCACCCCCGTCTCTATTCGGCCTCGNTGGGCCAGACTGAACAATCAGTTTTTACTTCTTAGACGCCGGCGTTTCTCAACAAACTGTAGTTCAGGCTTTATGTACTGGAGTATGCCAACTGTTGCAAGCTGAGAACAGTAGATGGACGGACATGAAAGTCGGCGTGATCTGTTTTATACGAGATCCACATGCCAAAGAGGTAATTTTCAGTTTTCCACTTTACTTTAGTTTCATGATTTCCTGGTCAGCTCGAGTCTGGTCAGTAGCCCAAAAATACCAAAAATTGAAGGGTAGCCTACAGAAATTATCATAAATTCGCGTTCTCTTTGTCTCTTCAATGGAAATTATCGTGGTCCAATGTAGATTGTGTTGTATTTGCATCGAAAAAAATTTATTTAATAATTTTAATTCAATCAATCAGAGTCAAAATAAAATGTTCACACTCTACATCAGTTCTTTCCAGTACGTGTTATCACTGCTTTATCCTAAAGCGGACGAGCGACTCCCAGCAACAGTGCTTTGGACCATGCCAGTGTGAGTTCCGAGTAATGTTTTCAAGATGAGCCATCAGAACTGGTCTCTGTACGATCACTGCCTTCTAGAGTACCTTTACATATTGTTTTTCGTACTCTTTTCGATTTTTTTCGTTTTAACGCGAATTTTCCTCAACAAAAGAAAAAACCTTCGCAAAAATCGAAAAAAATTATCCAATCCAGAAATTCAAATTTAATATATTACAACTTCAAAATCTATGCTTACTAACCCGAAGGAATCTAGAATAATATTCGTTCTTTCAAATTTATTCTATTTTTCGTAATTATTTTATTCTGGACGATATTTATGGCGCAAATATCAAAGAGCGTAGAAAAATAGTCTACCCTACACTAAAACTACGAAATTTCTTTACCAAACGTAATTCCTTAAATTACTGACGTCAAGTGAAGTGAAAAAATATTTTTCACTTTGTTTAGACAGATTTTTCAGCTTTGATAGATATCAGTAATTCGCGATTATTCAATGCAGTTGCTAGATAGAAAGAAATGTTGAGCCTTGGCGGTGCTTAAAGACAGCCGGAAAATTGTTTAAAAAACCATGTCTAAAAAAAGTTCTTCGAAAGCTGTTGCCAGTATTAACCCCTTCTCCAGTGAATTTGGTGAAACCAACCTAAAAACTGCTTATGATTCCCACTTGTTAAGATCGGCATTCTTCGAAACGGAACGAACCAGTGACGAACATCTGTTGACATTTACCATGGAATCGTATCCCCGGGACGTTTGTGGTCTCAACTTCCATGATCCACAAGAAGCGGACGAGTTTCATCGAATTCTAGTACAAGAAAATCGAGGTAGGTCGGCAATTGGGGACACATTGTCCAGCACTGTACCTAATCCTATTTCAGGACGAAAATCTCGAGGAGCTACCAAGCCAAAGCGGCAGGCACCACCACCTCCTTCACAGGTGAGTGGCGTGTTTTCCTTATAGCTTTTTACGGCTCATTCAAGGTCGCCTATTCAACTTATAATAACCACAAAATAGAGTAATTTTTTGCGAAGTTTCATAAAGCGGTGATAAGGAATTTGTGAAAATTGAACAGAATTTCGAACTTTTATAACAAAGGCTTTCTGAAGTACGAAACTACTTTTTTAATGAAACCACTTGATGTGAGGCCAAAATTTCACTATGAAAACTTGATTTCGATCAGAATGACCGATTTTTCCCCGCGATGGAAGCGTTCATACTTTTTTGGAATCTGGAAAAAGCGCAAATCGTTCCAATCGATTCCTCTCCAATCAAATGATTTCCTTAATCCGAAGATCACCTTTTTATGTTCCTGATACATGTTTTGTAGATGATTCTGCTTGATTGGCAGACCGTAAAATATTGATAAAATATAGACAACAAGCAGAAAAAGTTGCTGAACACAGCAAAACACAATCACTTCCGATGAATCAGTAAATATTGCATAACGTCAGTTGTAACGGGCAAATACATATAACTTTTTCACTTCTGTTTTCTTTTTTTATTGCTTCACAGGGTTAGAATTCCACTTTCAGCCAAGCGGTAGGGAAGCGATCGAACGGTTAATGGAGCTCTGTGAGTTAGTTTCATTCTGATTCCTGAATTGCAAAGTGAACTCCTTATTGTAACGTCGTAGGAGAAGTTCTGGCTGAAACGGTTCGCCACGAGAGAAGGGGTCGAACAAAGGCCAACTATCAGCTGTATGGCCCTTATGGGCCTTAGAATTGAATGCCCATTCAAAGCATCCCTCAATAGTTCAATGCCCATCTATAGATAAGGAGTCTGGAAATATTGATTGAATAATCAATTCTTGCATCTGCATGCCAACTCAGTACTGAGACCACAGTACCCTTCCAGTGAGGTGGCATCTCCCCTTACTACTGTAACTGGCTGGTGTGGTGTAGTGCTAAGTGGCGGTCTATCACACGCATAGTCTGGGGGTTGAACATAAGACAGATAGGCGATCAAACCAACCAGCTTTCCTTCCCTCCATGGTCAGCACCGGACTTTTCTTGGAAGATAAAGGTATCGACATGGACACCGGTTGGCCCCGCAATTCATGGTATAAGTCAACTACGCNACCTACTTTCGACGGACGCGCGCAACGGACGTTCGCCTCCTTTCCTGATGGGTCCATACGGATCCAATTATGTTTAATAAAGTGGTCTGGAAGAACAGAGAGAATTGCTGTGAACATTCAATGATCCACGCAACTCACCTTTGGATTGAATGGGAGGCTTGCCCATCGCCCAGAAATGACTACACTGACTTAATTGTCACGGCTGGTGATTGAAATGGTCTCCTAGATCCTTTCTAAGACGAATCTGTGGCCTCCAAGGGTGCTGCATGGGGTTTTGTATTGTCAAAAAGTAGCGGTCCAAACAGGGTAAGAGATAAGATAAGTTGAGAGAATCTCATGTTTTTGGCAATGTGAATTCTATTTCTACCATTTACGCTTCATTTTGATTTGTTCATTTCCAGCAAATGGCAATTCAACCGGCGACAATGAGAAGAAAGAACATCGGAAAAGTTTGTATTATAGTCTGTAGTTTTTAATTCGCTTCAATTTTGCTGTTAGATTTTAGAAAAAAAGGTTTCCTCAGGTTTCCTTGGAGGACTGTTCACCATGAAAAAGAAGAAAAAGGAAAGGAAAAAGCTCGACATTAGTGCACCAACGCAATTCCAGTGAGTTCAAGATGGCCAATTCGGCTCTTCTGTTGCATTTTCTTGTTCATACAAATAAAAAAATCAATTTTACTTCAATAACCTATATAATTAATAGTTAACATTTTTATTTTTTAATCACTCGTAGGTGGTGCAGTCGAAAAAGATGCACCCTATCACAAAGACATCGCCCGGGGATGGAAACTTGAGTCAATTCCTTTTCTCTCGACCCAACCGAGCCTTCCAACCCTCCAGATTCATTTAATTGGTAGCAGACACGTTCGGGAAAATAGAAGCACTGAGTAGTACCTTAGCTGCCACCATCAGTCATGGTACAGGCCACCCACGCATTCAACAGGCCACCACGACATTCTGAATAGGAGTCGAGTGTGGTGGCGAGCGCGTCTCAAAGACGGGGTCGATGGGAGGCGGGCGTTAGGAACGATTTTGGGTAATCGATTTGCCGCACGCGGCTGTCGCGGACCACTCATTCGCCGTTATTACGGCTCTAGCGTTCTTCATACAGCTCAATCGATANGCGATCATTATTTTATGCATAATTCTACCATTAGTACTTTTGTTCTTGTATTTTTTTACCTACTGCTGCATCCTGCTACATTCCATCGCGCGCGATGCCCCTCTCAGCGCGACGCGACCATTTCGTCCCTAACGCACCACACCCGGGGTCGATTGAGGCTAATAACTTCAAGACCTTATTAGCAAATCGTTGTGATTATTATATTTAATTCATTCAATTTAATTACATCAGCTTCATTTGTTTTCATTTTGTAATCACTGATCATTGATTTTTTTTACTATATCTACTTTCACCACGGTAACTGTTATGTTTCAGGCACCTCGATCACCTTGGCCTGGAGGAATTATCAAAAGAGGATCAGGAAACGTTCCATCACCTGATTAAGGTTGTAGATGTAAGTTCCTGTGTCTTATAAAGGCTCTGTATGGAAACCGTTTTGAAAGCGGACATGGTGTGTTGGCAGGTGATGCTGCTACAGCACCCTTGGTCTTTAGACCGAACTTCGAGTGTTCTGCTCAGAATGAGCACTCCGCGGCCTACCCAACATGGGGAAATGTGGCCATGGGAATCTGTATAAGCCAAGCAATCGATCATTTTTAAACGGTGCTCATTCCCACAAGTGCTATTCAGCAGAGACCCCCTCCCTCTTTGGTAACGTCATTGCTTTAGTTCAATTCGGAAATACAGTATCATTCAGATCGAACCTGGCAACGAGGACCAAATGCAACTACTACGCAGTATTGTGGCCACCAAAGGCAGTGAAGTACGGAATTCCATGCGAATCAAGGTGAATACGTCGTTCTGTTTTTGAATTCATGTGAAAATGGTTATTGATTATATCCACACCTGTGAAACTTTATTTTTTGTACCGATCAATCTTTTCCTACTTTTCTCACTCATGCACGTTTTTCTTCCGTTCTGCCCCAATGGGTGGTCAGATTTTTTGAACCTTTCATGCAGAAGGCGTTTATAAATTGTTCTGTTGTTACAACTACAAGGCTTATCCTTATACCGGTCCCTCTTTTCCCATTAATTTTTACGCATACATTTTCTACCATTATTCGTTTCTCCCATTTGAGCTGCTTGACGCTTTCAGTGATGGGCGTCCTCACTTTTTAGGCTCATCAGTGGTCGTTTTAGATCAAACTGGCTCTTTCAGGATTTTGCGTTACTTTCTGGCTCTGTTGAACTGCTCTTCGTCTAATCTATACTGTCTCCCACAATTTTTGTTTCAATTTCTTTCTTACCCATGAAAATGGCCGAGAGCTTTTACGGCGGCGATCATTGATGTCCAAGAAAATCCGTCCTAGAGGTGTTTGTGAAAGCACATTGAATAGATGGTGTTGTTCTTCGCACTGCGACCCAGATAAGCCTTATCCCATTCGGGATTCGATTTTCCTGAACACAAACACACCATTGACGAGATCGCATCACTTCTCGAACAATAGCGAAAATCATTCGCAGCTATTTTCTCTTGAACGCTTACGATCCTGCAGGTTTACTGATGTTCACCTATTCCTCTCTGAAAGTGTTTTTGTAACTATTTTGGCCACATATCGCTAGCAGGTTTACATAATCTGACCTTGGGGCAAAAAGGAGTTATATACAGGTTTCAATGGACCTTTTTAAGCTATATTATCTACAGACGTAATAACAAATGATTCTTCACTGAATTCAATTCAATCAGCCTTTGGTTAAACCGAAGCTCGATGATTCTTCATTGCTTTGTCAGTGAGATTCGGATTGATTTCAAGCTCAACCTTTTTCCAATCAATTTATGCAATCTGAGGGAAAGTGAAGGTTCTTGAGCTCTGAAAAGACTTAAATCCGATGACCGATTCCAAAAAGCTATTTCTTATGGACAAGATATTATTTAAACTTCTCGAATCAAATACAAAGCTAACTTCTTATAAACGGACTTTTTTTGGTCCATTTGTCCAGTTTATCAGATCTCTCCGAAACTTCTCCTTGTTTAATGACCTTTTCTCTCCTTTAAAAGCCTTTAAGTTCGACTGCAGCCGCCGTTTGCCTGCAGCTGTTTTAAGTTTATCCCTTAATCTTTTCCTTAAAAGGATACTCCTTATAAAACCTATTTGCTATAGAACTTTACTACATGCTTGTAAACTTACAAGATACACAGTAAAAGTATGGTATATGGAGCATTTAAAAAGCCTAGACCAATTTCTGTGTCACCTCCTCCCCTTTTATATTTCATTTTTGCAATTATTGCAATTCTCTATCAATTACATATTCTCGGAACAACCGCCCGAAAATCTTCAAGAGGCTGAGCACGAACACCTATTTTGCCCGCGTTCTATCTATTTACTTCAAAGAACTCTCAATTCCAAAAGTAAGCTGTGAAACATGCCACTCTGAAAAATCACTGAATTCCAAAAAATGCTCGCCTAGGTACTGAGTGATTCTCGCTTATTAGATTCCCCAAATCAGTATGTATATAATATGTGAATCAGTTTAAATCAGTTTGTATGGGTATACAGAATTTCGCACTACTTTTTCCTTCAAGTTTTTCGATTGCTCATGAAGAGCAGGTTAATTTACTGTCTCTACTTTTTGCAGCGAAATTCTGTCCGCCCCACTGATACCTTCGTTCGAGGCAACAACCATACGACATTGGCTGAGTCCAGGAACAGCATGTGAGTTGCACATAGTAGTACGCTGTATATTTACGAAGTAGCAAATAAATTACTTTTTGTCGCACCCATTTTGCTCCACGCAAGACGCTCCCATCCGTTTCTTCAAGATTTTCGTTCCCATTAGAGTACAGTAACAACGGATATCATTCCAGGATGGTGGTACACAAGCAACAACGGCGAACCCCTCGTGAAGTGAAGAAAGGCTCATTCAAGGTAAAAGTCACGGCGTTTCCACTTTGTCCCTCTATTCTCTAGGCTACATTACGGTAAATGAGGTTAAAGCCAAACACCTGAACGGGAACGTAGCTGTTTCGACTGAGTTCATGTGTAGGAAGAAGACAATCCCTATGGAGTAGATTCTTGGAGAGAAATAAGAAACATTGTCTTTTTTGGAATAGCGCGACGAGTGCTAGAGTGGCGCGCGCGGTCGCGAAGCGTTGGCCTCCTCAACTTGTCAGTTTCGCACGCGTACAGGGAGTACCAAAGGAACGGGATATAGGAGGCCTGCGGTCAGGAAGACTTGAAAGCCTTTAGACCGTATCAACTTCGCAAACATCCTTAATCAGGGATGCATCGCGACGCGACCGCAGCGCGCTTGTCACGGTTGATAATCAGCAAAGGAATACGTGGGCTCAGATTTTCCTACCATGCCTTTTCCCATCCCATACTGAGAATGTTGCAGCGTCAGGAAGCCGACGCACAGTCAAGTCATCAGCAACAGCGAACCACGACCATCTTAGAGGTCAGCCAGTTTCGAACGCTCGTTACTGCCCATTGTTCTAGCATCTCATAACGCTTATTCTAACACTGGCTTGAATGACGGAAACTAACAACTTTTAGAGCTTAATTACTTGCTGACTGCCAAGGAGGAGAAGTAGAGATTGAGAGAGGTTCACAGATGATGGCTGTTCCACAGCAGGGCTAGAGCGTGAAAGTTCAATCAGGTGGGAGTGCCACACGGTTTTTTTGAGAAGAGGTGCTCTAACCCACTTCGCCGGGACCCTTTTCCCAGATTTTGTATGAATATGATTTATCTTTTCTCGGAGACAGTTGAAACGACTAATTGGTGTACCCAGTAGAGGCGAGGATCGCCCTATTCCTCGAGAAATTCCAGTGTAATGTACGATTGGTTTGGGGTGTAGGGATGTAGCGAGGGCATGCCAAAGGGAGAGACAACTCCTAGTTGCTCTGGGATGCCGCGCTCAATTCACTGAGGTGGAGTGAACTCACAAGGGTGGGACCGCCTTATCCGACTGAAATCAGTCACTAATGATCTTCTTTGAGCACCTTTGCTGCTGCTACGCCATAAATCTATCCACTGAGCATTCACCATTTTCAGTGGGCTTCCTATCTTGCGTGCACAGTTGCATTTGACTACGGTACCTTTGCGGATTCCCAAGTGGATGTTAATTTTGTGATGAGGAAGAACACAATATACTACCAGTTTCGAAAACGATGGCAAATTGTTCTGTTTTAGATAGAAATCGATCAATACCTCAATCCCGATTGGGGAGCAACGCCTTCATCATACGAAGTACAACAGAAACTGCAGGTCCAGACAGATTCAAAAGAAGTCAACAGAGTGAGATTTCCAATCAATTCCTTCATTTCCTATAGGTGATTTCAATACGCCCTCGATAATCCCTTGTATATTCTGATCGAATACAGCTTATAGTCGCTAAATTGCCATCTTGCTTAAAAATTCTGCCCAGAATCGGATCCCACCCTAGCGCTCCTCACAAATTGTCTCTTTCATTGCATTTTGAATGAGAATCTTAACGGGGGATAATGTAGGAAGCTGACCCACTGAATGAATTCAGTAGCGACCACCTGATTTTATGAGTTTCAAGGATTTTGAAGTCTTAGGTCCGGGGTATGACCCATCCTCATCCGGCTCTCACGAACTCAGGATTCCAGTTTCAACGTCCCGGCTCAAACCAACGTCCGATACATGCCCACATTGTACATCGATAATGGGAAGTCCCAGAGAGCCGAGAATGACAATATATGGTGAGGCTCGAACAATTCTCGAGCTGAGTTCAGTTGAGCAAGACGATCAAGTACAGGTACCGGGTCAGGTCATCAATGCAAGGGCGTTGGAGGAAGAAGCAAACTCACTCTACAGTTGGAGCACCCCAATAAAGCGTCTCTGTTCCTTGGCTTTTCCTTGCGAGTCACTTCTTACTGTTCGATCAACTTAGGGCGAACCCGGTTTCCTGCTAGAGGCGCGTTTTTCCTCCCCTTTCACGGAAACCTGTCGGCAGTTTTTTTCAAGTTGTTAGCGACATACTTTCGACTCTTTAGTGATCTAGTTGACAAGGTGAACACACTTTGCTGCCACTACAGTTGATCTTTATGAATTGTTCCTAACTTGCTTGACTGTCAAAGCCACCCGTTTAAAAGCCTCTTGCTTCTCCCGAAACATCACAAATGTATTCCTCCTCATCCAAACCACCCCGAGGTGGTATGATCCTTGTGCATGACTTTCCAGCGACCTCCTCATCCAAACCACCCCGAGGTGGTATGATCCTTGTGCATGACTTTCCAGCGACTCTAGAGGACTTTCTTACGGTAACCTTTTCACCAGTTAGTATCGCAACTATTCGTGAGGAATAAATCTCAACAACCTCTGGGCATATTTACAAATACATCTCAACAACCTCTGGGCATATTTACAGACTTTATCAAAACTATGTTCAATTCATGGCAAGATATTGTTTAGATTTGCATCTGTCACTCATCAATCCCGTGTTTTAAGATGAGTCTGAGCATCTTACTCCCATTCGAAATCGTTGTAGTGTTGGCCTATTTGCCAGATTTTTGTTTGGGACTTGTCTGTTTCCAATTTAGGAACTTCTAAGGGATGGAAGGTTTATTTGGAATGAGGTGGCTTTGATATGAGGATGACCGGCACTATCTCATGTCTGACAATGAGTCTGGTATCTTCTTCCCGAACGGCGTGTCTCCTCACCGCACTTGATCGTGCGCTATATAGGGATAGTTTGAGTTCTCAGTGGAAGGGTACGGCTGCGGACCTACTGCCGCTGAAGTTCCACCACCCCTCATGTCCATCTCCAGATAGACATGATGTACTAACGAGAAATCGATCCTACAATGGAGGTGACAGATAAAATTCTGATTGAGCGTGGGTTGGGAAACCATCGGACACAGTTTGGTGGCCGGCAGGGCTTTACAGGGTCATGGGGCAATGGGAGATAATTTGGACAATATTGCCCTACCCTATCCTTCTGTTGCTGACCCACCAAAAAGAGCTCTATGAAAACCTCATCAACTTTTTGCGCAAAACTGTAATTCAAGCGACAAAGTCCTCGTTTTGCTCGAGGCTGCACCTGGTTTCGAAGTTTATGTGCATTCTCTGTTAGAAGCGGAAAAGAAAATTGGAAATTTCATTTCAAGTGCTTCAAACAAAACTTTCGGAAGTGAATAGTAATGTTGGAAGCGGTGATTTACTCATTTAAAAGAGGGTATCATTCACACTTAAACAAATGGTCCGGATTTATGCAATGTCACTTCACCTGTATTGTTTTTGTAGGAATCCTACAATGATCGGCCATGGGTTGCACCCAAACCGCAAGCACCGCCGGTACCATCCCGAAGCGAAGCAATGACGACGTCATATTCACCCGTGGGTAGACGAAAAGTGTCGCCATATTCGCCAGGTGAACTTCGGCCCAGAAATGACGGTCTCTAATTTCTGAATTCTAGTTCCACAGTTTTTTAATTCAAGTCCTTTTTCCAGTACCACGTTTACCACCGCCCAGCGAGCAAGCTCCACGACTACCGGAGCGGTATAGGTCTGAACAAGGTTAGCATCGGTACACAAACTCTTAACCCGAACTTTCTTTTTCACATTTAACCTACCAAAGTTTCACCCTTTCAGGAGTTAGCAATCCAGTCTGGCGAATAGAGATGCCTTTGCCTAGTGGTATTCAACCCCCTTCCCATTCACCTCCGCCTACTCCACCATCAAGTCAGCCATCTCCAGTACCGAATCAGACAGCNGTGATTTCGCTCGCTCCTCCTCCACCTCCACCGCCGTCTGGACTTCTCTCCCCAGCGCCCACTCCCCCTCCTTCCACCGACGTCAAACAACGATCTGCCGATGTTTCACCAGTTTCCAATGATCGGAGGAGTTTCTTGGAGGTTTGTGGCCATTTGTCTCTATACTCTAACCTATAGCTATTCATGGTATATTGAACTGATTGCAGGAAATCCAGAACGTCGACAAAGGGAGATTACGTCACGTCGATCCCATCACAAAGCCTATTCAAAGCGAAGATGTGAGCTTCCCCTTCTCTGCTGTCTAGTGAGCACGAGCTTTCTAAACCTAAAATAAGTTCGGAAATTTTCAGTCCCCAATAGGTGACGGTGGTCTTTTGTCAGCAATCCAAGCCGAATTGGACAAACGTCGAGGTTACATCGCATCTGACAGCGACGACGGTAAGGACATATGCACCTTTGCATCTGAGAGAAATCCAATATGTTTGGACAAACGACGAAGTTGTTTAGAAGTGTTTCACTGAACGGGCAAATTGCAACGTTCCTAGACAGATGTAGAAGAAAGTAGTAACGCATTTACTCGGTCCCCTATTCCAGAAAATCTGGACTTCAAACCCGAACCCAAGTCCAATTCCAGTCACCCACTGAAGCCATTTCTGCTGGTGTTGTCAAGTCCAGAAGTGCTACTTTTATATGGTTTCAACTAGGAGCGGCAATACAGCTTTCATTATACAACCCCTTCCCGAATCGATTAGTCCCTTCCCGAATCAGTGAAGGTTCGGATTGTTGCAGGCCAGTAGCGGAGTGAAGAGCTCGGGAATCACGAGACCGTCATGCACTAACTGGCTGATTTTGTTCCTCAGTTCTTTACAGACTACTTGCCAATCAACAGATCGTAGGAATCGCTTCGCGCTTTTCACTTTTGAACTATAGCAAACACCTCTTCGGTCTGAAATTCTTTCTGACTGTCAAAATGGCTGGTCGAGGCCCGAGCTTCCCCGCTGTAACACACTCAAAGACGATTATGGAGACTAGATCAATTCCTTCAAACACTCTCTGCTTCTCCCTGTTTGCCCATTTTGATAAAGTAGGCCCAGGAAAATAGTTGATTAGGCCAGCAAAAGTCTCGATCGGTGTACTGCTTGAACCTCACGAGAGGGTAGAGAAAATCTCTGATGACTCCCTTTCATTTTATCTTCCCCTCTCTGCTCACAGTCAATCACGTTGAACTTATCCCTGATTCTGCTCCAAAATATGAAAATCTTATTCATCCGGGGTTTCTTGAATTCCCATGAGTTTCTGGGGTAGAAAAAATCTCTGATGACTCCCTATTACTTTATCCTCCCCTCTCTGCTCACAGTCAACCACCTTGGACTTACTCCGTGGTTCTGATCCCAAATATGAAAAGTCTTATTCATCCGGGGTTTCCTGAACTCCCATGAGTTTCTGAAGAGCACTTCAGCTCTTGTTAGACTTGATCGGCATTACCTTCGTGTACATGGGGGCTCTTCTACTCGCCTTTCCAACTCTTCTAGACAATAGCCAAACCATTTCGATGATTTTTCTGCCCGACAGTTTGTCTGACCGTCTGCATTGTATCAGCTGTGATAAGGGAACGGCTGGAGTTAAAGAGCTGAACGAATCAATCGGTCTAATCGGCACTAATCCATCATAACGCTGTGATTGTGATAAACCTTTCCCCACAAAACATGAGTCACCCATTTGGGACACATAGTCACTGGGCAAGATGATAACGCAGCATCCTAGGTCCTAGGGGACGAGGGAGATACTTCAACTACTAAACTAAAAAAGATGGGGTAGGGGAAGCAAGAGCATGAGATTGTTGGAAACTAGGGCTCAATCGTTCCCCTTTTGGGTGGATTTTCTCAGCATACTTGAACTTGCTTCGTGAAGTGTCACTGTTCCATCAATTACCGGTATAGGGGAGGGTTCGGGGGAGGGCCTCTGAAGGATCGAAGAAGCAAAGATCGCGTGTTCATGCCTATAAACCACAATCACATAGCCAACCCATGAAATCACAGCCATTTTGTTTTTTTAAACCATAATTGAAAGGATACGAAAAATATAACAGAAAAACCGTATCCGAATATTACCGTACACATTTAAGCCCACAGAACTTTTCGTCCTTCCAATGACTGGCTATTTCAGAATCCGACTCGACTGACAGTGAATGGACGGACTGATTGTGTTTTTATATACATAGATTATTTACGAATAAATCTTATTGAAATGCTGTTTATTTATGAAAAACGTGGTTGAAGCTTTTGCAGAGGACTTATGAAGACCGAAAAACCAGTAATTCGTAGAGTATTCCACGAGTTTTCAGTCTTTTACTTTTAATGATAGCGAAAAGAAGCTGTTGATTCATGCACGAACACCACGTTCAAAATTTTGAGGTTACTAACTTTTTCCTAAATTAAAGGTGGGTTACTACAAAGCGAATGAAGGTTGTAATCAAATATTCGGATTAGATAGCCAATGCAGATTCACTCAAACACAACTGATTTATGCAAAATATACGAGGCTAAAAAGCCAAATAAGTTATGTACTATTGATCATAAATATTTATTTGTCTACTAAGACAACACAGTTTTTTGGGTCACCAGATGCTTGCATTCGGGTGCGAATCTCGGCGATTGGCATCATCATCGTCACGATTTTTTCGTCATCTTGTTTTTGGTAGAGCATTTCTCCTTCAAAGTCCACCAGACCGTATTTTCTTGCTCGTATCAACATACCGACTAACTAAAATTAAACTGAAACATTATAAAATCGATTTGTCAAAGACGACCACGAAATTATGCGGAACTCTTTAGATTCTTTCGTTACGTCTCAAAAAGATGGCGAGTTGTGGAAAATTCCTCCTCGAACAGGATTCGAACAGCGCTTACAGAGACCGTGCTTCTTATCCGTTACACTTCCAAATCCCCGCTTACGCTTGCCTTTTGTGATGGCATAAGTAAAAAAAATTGGTACGGCATTAGTCACTGAACATCCTACTTATATAATCTGCCAGGTATGTCTGTTGGTGTGTTTGTGTGTGTGTACGTGTGTGTGTCTGACCGGAAATTCATAGACTCCGCCCACAATGGGCGGAGATTGAGCGAAAATTCACATTACTGCTTCCGTGCACCTAGGGCGTTCAAATTTGGCAGGAGTACAGGCAGCTGGACGGGAACACCTATGTCAGGGAGCAGGACCGGACCCCTCCCATAATGGGTGGGGTTTTAGCGAAAATTCATAACTACCGTCATCGTGCATCTAGCGTGTTCAAATTCATTAGAGGTTTAGATGACAGGATTGGCACGGTGGGAACACTGATGATAGGTGACAACTCTCGACTCTGGGCGGGGCGTGCTTGAAAATTGGCAGCATGCACCAGGGACATTCAAATTTGCTAGGAATAAGTATAGGGTGCGCCATAAATATGGTAACAAACGAATGGGCCCTAGAAACCAAAGTTAACATTGATAAGTGGCGAATTCATGTGAGTTACTTACATCTGCATAGCGAACACACGGTCACCTTACATAACTGCTTCCTGTTCTAATTATAGCTCGAAGACGCTTCGGCTATCATCGTCTCATCGCACGCAGAGTTTCTTGAGAAACGCTAGCCCAGGTCTTCTTGAAAAAAGCAGCAACAGTGGTGCGTTTTGAAGCGCAGGCTTCCTCCCCATTATGGACTATATACAGCGACCCATCACTTTGTGGCCGAGAAATTCTTAGTAGGATTAGAAGCTGGGTGTCGTGGCTTTCGCCCGACTTGTTAAAGGGCCACGCCTGCTCGGGCGCGCAGGGGTCCCAGCGCGCACAGCGTATCGGCGCCTGCGCGTCTCCTTCGTGCGTTTCGCAATGAAGCAAACACTTGTTTCGTTATTGAACATACGTAATTTCTTCATTAATGTAATGTCGTATTTAATTCGTAGCCTCATTTATAGCGTAGATTCTCCAATGTTACTCAATTAAGTCTCAGCGTAGGTTCCTAGTAGTCTCGTAGTCATCAAGCTTAGCTTTATTTCTCCGTATCGATGGTATGGCATCTTTGAGTAGTTAGTTCGTCTCGTAGTTTGCGTACTCCCGAGTTAACGTAGCCGTTATCGTTCGCTTTTCAGGTAATTTGCGTTCATGAGGCTCACCCGTCTCAGCTGTTCCGACAGTCAACGCACGATGCCCTTAAAAGCGAGAAACGTTAAAGCAAGGGATCAAGGGGTGCAAACCAGGGAGATAAGCCCCACACGCACGCACGCTCTGCCCCGCCAAGGCTGCTGCTGCCACACCACCGACTGCAGCTGTCATCGAGACCCTCATAATGACTGCCACGAGCGTAGTGGTTGCGTAACCTGCTGCCACGTCCGTAGGGAGTTCCACCATACTTGTAAGTGCTTTTTGGGGCGTGGCAACACCTCGTGCCACAGCTGTTTCTGCGCACATGCGCAATCAATTAGATCCTCTCCTTCACCTCCGCGTAGGCGTTCCCCTCAGGAGGAAAGCAGCAGGCGCTTCTTCGCCTCCACCTAGGTATTCCCCTTGCGGAGAACGCCGCGACGCAGGCTCTCCTTTGCCTCCGCGTAGGTATTCCCCTCGCGAGGAATGCCGCACCGTACGTTCTACTTCGCCTTTGAGTTGGCATTCCTCTTGTGAGGCGTGCCTCGCCTTAGGCCCTTATTCGCCATCGCGTAGGCAGCCTCCCCGCGAGAAGCGCTACTCAGGGGACGCGTACTATTCACGGCGCAGTTTCTCCCCGCGTAGCGAGCCTTGTCGCTCACGCATGCCGCCGCAGGGATACGGCGCCCCAACGCCCCCGCGTAGTCCTTTAAGCGTAGTAAGCGTAGCTCACCCATTCTTGCTTCCTGTAGAGCCGTCTCGCCATCCGCGTTTTACTCCACCAAGGGCTTCAGCGGTCGGGTTATCCGCACGAAGGCGTACACGAATACGGGGGCTCTTCGCGACGACGGCGCGCAGTGCTCCCAGCGCGCACAGTGTATCGGCGCCTGCGCGTCGGCTATACTCGACGCGTGCTCTGGCTTAAAGCCATCCGGCAGTGTGT